CTTTACATCTTCTATTTCTTTGATGAGACTCTATTTCATTTGTTTCAAGCATGTTAGCAATTGGTGATGGAAGTATTTTTATATGACTACTTTAAAATTTTTTTCAAATAATTCTGACATCTCTAACATCTTTTTGTTCGTATCTATTGATTGACTTTTTTGATCATTTCGAGATCTTCCTGGTTCTTTATATGATGAGAGATTTTCTATTGAAACCTGGACATTTTGTGTATTATGTTGTGAGACTCTGGATCTTATTTTAGATAATTTTTTGGACACTATTCTGGAAGAGGAAAGGGTGGGGGGAACAACACCTGTTACTGCTTGATGGGTATAGATGTCAGGATTCCTATCTGGATTCTAAGGACTCCCAAAAAGTGTATGCCTCATTATTTCTGTTCAGAAATAGGATTTCTAGTTCTCCCCTAGGTCTCTACTTATACCACTTAGCTAAGATGGTGGAGTGGCCTCATTATAACTGCATGGTGGTGAAAGTCTTGACTTTCCAATAAGCCTCCTCTGATAGCACCCCAGTAGGGAAGGGTGAAAGACTTCATTATAGCCTAGTGAGGGAGAGATTCTAGGCTCGCTACTCACTTATTCTTTGGTGTCATTGGTGGGGATAGGGCCACAATTTTTTCACAGTATTTGAGTACAACAAAGCAGTTATTTTCTTAAAGTTTCTGTCTTTCTAGACTGTCCCTTTCCTGGTCCTTTGACTAGATAATCTCCTTCTGAAATTCAAATTACTTGATACTGTCTGCTTATCTCGTTACTCAGACTTTTCTTTACCTGCTGATTTCATTATCTCTGTTATTACTAAAGCTGTTTTTATTGAATGACTTTTCTCTCAGATATGGGTCACATTTTTTTACTCCCTACAGATATTTATTAATTTTTTATGTAATGAAAGACATTACAAATTTTACATGGTTGAGTGCTAGCTTTTGTTGCTCTCCTTTAAAAAAGTATTGTACTTTTTTTGAATGCCAAGTTCAGTTACTTACAGATAGTTCGATCCTGTCAAGTACTATTTTTAAGTTTGTTAAGGTGAATCTAGAGCAGACTTTTCTCTGGGATTAGATTAGCCCTACTTCTGAGCCATGGCCTTTCTGGTATCAATACTGAATGCCTATGTATTCAGTAACGTTTCTCCATTCTGGTTTCTGAGAACTGATTCTTGGCCCTCTGTGTGTTCTGAGAATTGTTTGGCCTACAGCTGCCCTAATTCTTTTTTCCAGTGTATTGTTCTTTATCTAGGCTTGTGGAGACTATAATTTTTATTATA